GCAAAAGAAATCATCAACAAAACTGCTGGTATATAAAAACACAAACATCTCATCAGTAGTGGACCAAGAATTTGGATTTTGGGGAGAAGTTTAGAATCGGGCCAATCCACTATATGAAGTAAAAGTAATAACTGAACAGAAGAAAATTGTTCACAATGAGACCATATGCCATTTCTCTGGGGGAAATCTGACCTGTGAATTCCCCTCTTTGCAAGTTGCAACAATTCATGACACCAAAATGTATTACATTATATTAATCAAACAAGCACAAAACAAACAGAGTCGAAATCACATAACATAATATGCTTATCAGCTTACAACACAAATCAAATTACTTAAAATAAAAATTTCTATTATTGAATGAAAGAGGTTACGTCAAAATAGAGATAGTGAAACCTATACTTACTGGTTGGAGTTTGTAATGAATTGGAGTTTGTAATGAAGCGAAGGCTGGATATCTTTGTCTTCCAGAATATACCCACTTAGGGTTTCCATCTCAGAAACATCCATCTCTTTCTCTTCTAGAATACCCAACTGATTTCGTTGTGGGAGTAAGGAAGGAGTTGAGGAAGAGCTTTGATTGGGCACGTGTTATTCAGGTGGCACGTGACTTTAATCTCTGGAAAGTTACGATTTGTCAACAAGTCCAATTGCTGTTTGCAGCTCTTCACTTCACACTACACAAATTATTTCCCAAATTTTCAGCAACTTACTGTAATATATCATCAAATCAAATTCAAATTAGAAATAAATAGTAGTAAATCAATCAACACCTTACCCTCAATCAACCATAATATTTCAAGTAAGGTTGAAGAAGGTTCTTTGCGTTGGGATGATCCCACTCCACTGATTCCCACCATCCTTCTGAGTATATTCTATGAATCTTGATTGCTGTGAGACGAGGAGGAGGAGATGGTTGGCCATTATCAAGCAGGGGAAGTTGAAAAGGGTTCTTCTTTAACTCCGGACATGTGTTTATTTTAATTTCTTCAATAGAATCATAAATCATCACTCCTTTGGCACTGCAGATGCTCTTCAATTTGGGTAAGTTACCCAACTTCAACATCCTTAACTTAGGAAAAGTGAAAGTGAATTTATCAGATGATGCACCTGAATCTGATGATGCTATTATCTCCTCCATTTCTGTGCAATTCCAAACTCCTATCTCCTCTAAGTTTTGAAGGGCTTGCAGTAGCTCAAGTGGAAGCAACTTCCTCATTTTTCTACACAGATTTATAAAAAGCACTTTAAGATTGGAAAAGACGGGTGGTGGTGTTGCTACTCCTCCTACTCTCACAAGTACACGCAACTTGGGCAATTCTAAAACATTCAACACTTCAAGCTTATTGAGTATCGGACAACATGGTGAGGAGGAGGAGGATGAGTCCAACTCAACCACGCACTCTATCTCTTCACTTTCCCAAATGCTGCACCATCTCAACTCATTTGCTTTTTCGAACAGAACTATTTTGTTTAAGCTACCTCTCATGTCTTTACTCCCAACTATCCGCAAATCTTCAAGGTTATTTGGAAGCACCATACATTCTTCCCCGATCTTGCAATCAGTAATTAGAAGCTCATATTTTCCCTGTCTAATCATGTCTTTTGCACTCCCAACTACAAGACTGTAAGCAGTAGTACTTAGGAAATCTTTGAACTTGTTGACAAAATAACTGAAATCATGTATGCCATCAAATTGACATTCTAAAGTCTCCAACTTCTTCAATCTAGCAACCTCTTCAAAATTTCCCATTATTGTAGTTTCTCGCAAACAACATACTCCCAAGTACTGCAGTCCGGGAAGATTAGGTAATATTCCTGTTGGAATCTCTTTCAGATTTGGACAAAATAACAAATCAAGATATTCAAGACTTATCAGCATTCCCATTCCTTGAGGGACCACCTCAATCCCTGCCCCGTGCAAGTCCAACTTCTTCAATCCCCTGAGGTTTGCCAAGGAAGGCAAGTACTTTAACTTCATGCAATGCTGTAACCGCAAGGCAGATAGATTCTCCAATTTAGAGATGGAATTAGGTAGAGTCTCAATAGCAGTGCTAGAGAGATCAAGAACCTTCAAAGCAAGCATCTCTCCAAAAAAGGATTCTGGAATCTCTGACAAATTAGGATTGCTTGATAATATCAAAGTTGAAAGGGTCGAACACTTTGGGGACAGACTAAGAGGAAATTTTAAAATGTTATTTTCCATAAGAGACAACTTCTTAGGATCTTCTACCCAACCATGCTCATCTGATAGCTCTACCAAATTCATACCAGCTTTTATCATATATCCAAATTCAGGACCAATGTTTATGATAGCCATGTCTCTTACTACATCATGCATCTTTGCATCATCCCTCTCAAAGTAAAAATTTCTAAAGAAGGTTGGGAAAGATGGAGCTTTCTCTAATAAGAAATTCTTTTGAAGCCTATCTATAATAGCATGGCCCCTATTATAAGCTGCTTCTCTACTTGGCAACCCATTAATTAGTCCTTCATCAATCCAACATTCTATCAACTCCCTTCTAGAAGACACATAATCCTCCCGAAAGAAGGAGCAATGAAGAAAACAATTCTTGACTTGCAAACTATCCAACCGATCAAAACTAAATCTTAACCGCTTAAATATCTCATCATTTGAATCTTTCACACCCATTACACGCTCTTGTAATTCAGTCAGTGCATCTCTCCACACATTAACATCATCAACTCCCCTCATGCTCCCAGCTATCACAACAATGGCCAGTGGTAAGCCGGCACACTCTTCCACAATAAGCTTCAAGATTTCTTCCAACCTTGGAACTTGTAAAACACCATTCCCAACTGTATCAAGGAATAACTTTAGAGACTCCTCTTGTGAAAGAGGTTTCACTTTAACAATCATACAATGCAAATAACTGCATACTTCAATTGATCTACTAGTGACAACCACTTTGCACCCATTCTGCACCTTTGGATCTGGAATTCCAACAGCCTTAAGAGAGAACTTGTCCCATACATCATCTAATATCAGCACAAATTTCCTTCTTCCCATTATATCCATTAGTTCTGCCGCTCTCATCTTCTCTTCCTTATCTTCCGAAAGTGTTTCCCCCATTTCACTAGCAATCTTCTTTTGTAATTGAAAAACACTGAGAGGATGTGATACAGTAACCCAGAGAAACTTTTGAAACTTGGTCTCCTTCCTCAAATCATTGTAAACATGCTCCATGATCGTAGTCTTTCCAACTCCACCAATCCCACATACTCCAATCATTCCGAACTCGTCACCCATCAAGTAGCCCCAAATTTCTTCTTTAGTAGAAATTTCCCCCACTAAATTCTCTGTTGGAATTATGACTTCACGAGCTGGAGCTCCCCCAATCACAAGGCCTTCACTGAAAATGCCCCTCTCATAAATTTTCTTCACCACTTCAATTTGTTCACGCACGAGTTTATCAAAACTGGCACGTTTGTAGAATGGAACCCCGTTGTGCACCCTTTTTTTAACATCTTTCACGTCTTTTTTGATCTTTTTAACATCTTTAAGCCATCCCCTCACTTCTTTTTTCACCTTTTGCCCGTGGCGAACCTCTGCTTTTATTCTTGAATTAATATCAATTTTTCTCCTTTTTAGAATCCGATATTCGCTTTTCAACTCTTCCAGATCTTTTTCAAGATTTATGTAGTGGTCCGCATTTTCTTCAATTTTATCAAGAATTCTTTCCATCGACGAATTTCCTAAAATATAACAAAAATGTCGTTAAATTTATTTTTATACAGAATAAATAATGTAAGATTTCTACCAAAATAATAATAATAATAATGTAAGACGAAAACAATAATAATATCAAACAGAATTTTAAAGAGATGTCAATACTAATTTTTTTGTGACAACACCACTTGTGGAATTAATATTTAATAATTGTTAGTATTTTTTTTTATT